GCAGAATGCAACTCATAAATAGCATAGAGCAAGGGAATAATATAATGGTAGAGGGGTGCATATGCTGAAGGTTCGAGCAAGCCAAGAAAGAATAGCTTTTCAGATGAGATTTGCAGTAGGATGGAAGAATCAAGGAGACAGACAAACAAAGGTGAATGTTCAAGAACACCAGGTAAAGACGCGTGGCTGCTAATAGCAGTGCGAACAGCAGCAGTGCTAACAGCAGCAAGTCCAGTCTTGTTCAATATATTCCTCAATGACCTGGAGGAAGGGACAGAGTGCACCCTCAGCAAGTTTGCTGATGATACTAAACTGGGGGGAGTGACTGACACACCAGAAGGCTGTGCTGCCATTCAGAGGGACCTGGACAGGCTGGAGAGGTGGGCAGAGAGGAACCTCCTGAAGTTCAACAAAGGCAAGTGCAAGGTCCTGCACCTAGGCAGGAATAATCCCATGCACCAGTACAGGCTGGGGGTTGACCTGCTGGAAAGTAGCTCTGCCAAGAAGGACCTGGGAGTGCTGGTGGACAACAAGTTAAGCATGAGGCAGCAGCGTGCCCTTGTGGCCAAGAAGGCCAATGGTCTCCTGGGGCTGCATTAGGCAGAGTGTTGCCAGCAGGTCGAGGGAGGTGATCCCGCCCCTCTATTCAGCCCTGGTGAGGCCTCACCTGGAGTACTGTGTCCAGTTCTGGGCTCCCCAGTACAAGAGAGACATGGCACTCCTGGAGAGAGTCCAGCGGAGGGCTACCAAGATGATTAGAGGGCTGGAGCATCTCTCCTATGAAGAAAGACTGCAAGAGCTGGGCCTGTTCAGCCTGGAGAAGAGAAGATTGAGAGGCGATCTCATCAACGTGTACAAGTATCTGAAGGGGGAGTGTCAAGAGGATGAGGCCAGCCTCTTCTCCGTGGTGCCCAGCAACAGGACAAGAGGCAACGGGCAGAAACTGAACCACAGGAAGTTCCATCTGAACCTGAGGAAAAACTTCTTCACTGTGAGGGTGACAGAGCATTGGAACAGGTTGCCCAGAGAGGCAGTGGAGTCTCCTTCCCTGGAGATATTCAAAACCCGTCTGGACGTGATCCTGGGCAATATGCTCTAGGTGACCCTGCTTGAGCAGGGAGGTTGGACTAGATGATCTCCAGAGGTCCCTGCCAACCTAAACGATTCTGTGATTCTGTGAATACTGGCACTCAGCTTTTATATGAGAAGTTTGGTTAGGCCCAGATGAAGGGATGTGGGTTGATTCCCCTGGTGACTCACTACAGCCCGTCCTAACTTTAACTAGGAATTTTGCAGCTGTGAGGCTCATTGATGCTAAGAAGTTGTTTAGTTTGCCCTTACCCAATAGTCTTTGGTTTTGCTTGAAACTGGAGACGTTCATCAGTGATCTTATGGCACCCATCAGTAGCTAAGATATTTTAAGTGGTGCAAAATATAGGATATCTGATTGCAAAATTTCTCTGGAACGCCAGGTGGGCAGAGCCTAAGTAGATTTTTGCTTTTTTGGTAATTTCAATGTAGTCATCAAACCCCGAGTGCTGTTTTTGTGTTCTCTCAGAAGCTGACCTGTGCCTAATAGCGCATCTTTAGTCATAATGGTGGGGTTCAGTGTCAGTGAGTGGTCAACAGCCAGCCCTCAAAACTGCTGTAGGCAAGGTCCAGACCTCTTTTTATAAATGTCAGTCTGGAAGGCTGAACTTCAAGGAGAAGGCAGATGCCTTCCTCAGAAACCAAATCCCCTTCCTCTTTACCCAACACAATTGAATCTTACAAATGTAGTTATATTGTGGTAAAAAACGTTGTGGCCTTGTGTTCAGTTCCACTTCACTATCTATATCACCCTTTCAGTTGGGTGTTGAGTTCTGTGTGTACGGGGGAAGAGCAAAAGCCCGAAATCCACTAGAAGAATAAAAGGGAAAGTGACTTGAAAGAGAAGATCTTTTGGTATTTTCAATAAAAGTCAGTACATGCCTACTTACTTGTCTTTATGATCTTTAAAGAGAGTTGAGAGAGAGATGGTTGAACGTTTTAAGTTAACTCATTTGGTATCTGAATAGTATCTGAATAGTTAAAATATGAGGCTCATATATTCCAGGAAACCAGTTTTGTCAAAATTCTGTCTACCTTAGGTAATAGAAAAGTATCACTGAAAACAAAAGAGGCAAGCTAGGGCTCTGTGTCCGCTAAATACACGTGTATTATTCCCTGTAGTTATCTTTTGGAAAAGGTATCTCTAAGAATTAATGGCCTTTGGTGCTGTATGTAGTCTGGTTATTACTAGAGTAATACCTGGATCTGAAGGTAATTTGTCAGGAGCTGCAGTTTGCCTGCATACCCACCTACTTGACAGGTAATGTAATAAAAATCAGATTTATTTTAACATTGCCAGATGAGTGGATTTCTGCAGTGGTAGAAGTCCGTTAGTTTAATTCGAGTAGAACTTAGTTTCATAGCAGTGTCCTTTGTTATTCAAGTACTCACTCTCTACATTGTTTAACAGGAAGCCGGTCTGCCGGTATCACACACAGTCTCCCACAGACTAGAAGTAAAGAGTCCAAGACTGGCAGAGACCAGCAGCTCTATAAGGCAGTTGGTGTTTTTCAGGGCAGAAACAGACTGTCAAACATACATACAAACAGTTTTGCTAGCTTGCCAAGCTTTGGCATGAACTGTAAAAACAACAGCACTTCCCCAGCCTGAAGGGAAGACAAAGCAAGCAAACTAGTCGAATTGGTGCGAACGGATGACAAAATACATAATGTATATAATCCGGAAACGACAGAGAGTAAGGAGAAATAGGCATTACACATTCAGTCCTTTTTTTGTGATGTGCCCTCTGTAGCACATGCAAATACTGTCTTAATATAGGTGCAATAACAACCATGAAAATAGCATAAGAAAGTAAAGGTTATGTTTCGTGATTGTATAGCCTCTAAAAACAATTTTATATGTGCAGTTATGCTTTGCACCTGCTGTTAATGTTTCAAGTATTAATATAATTATTTGCATTAGTATAAATTAAATATGTTGTCATTAATTATCAATCCCATTACGCTTTGTTCCTTTTTGTTGCTATTGACTTTTTAAGTCATCGTAATGCCCAGAAGCTCAGGCCAGGAGCAAGAGCTGCATGCTCCAGAGATGTGAAGGCATGCTGATTTCTGTTGTACCTTTTTTACGTAGCAGTAATCTGTCTTGCATTAATAAGCTCAAGGATCAGAGCGGAGGTCTCTGATCTGACTGCAAGCCCCCTTTTCAGAGCATTATCATGGTCCCTTGGCAGTTTCAAGTCAACGGAATACGAAGCAATCGAGGCAAATCTGTGGTTTGAGAGCTCTCCTCTAACACTGGAGAGCAGTCCTCCAGCACTTCTTCCAGGGGGTAGGAATTTATACTTCAGTGGTGTCTCCAGAGCCCAGGTCTGATCCTGAAGCGGTGGTCTGTGAGTTCAGTAAACTTGCCTCTCTCGTCCTGAAGTCAATATAAAAATACAGATGCAGCACAAAGTCTGTGTAGTGTCACCTCACTAATTCAGTAGAAATGCTCTCATTTGCCCGTGCCTGACTTGGCTCGTAGCTCTACTGCTGAGTGATCCAGGAGGAGTGATCCAGGAGGGCGGCAGTTTAGAATTAATGCTTGTGGATTGACAGCTTCGCATTCCTGTGGTGGGTTTGGCAAGCTCTTGCTAGGAACCCACTGGAGGCATGGGTTTCTGCTTTACGATTTAACTTTTAAGCATGCAGGGCAGAGGTGAGAAAACACCCACAAAACAGATGCGGACTGCCGTTTGTAGGTTTCCGGTTCATATCATGATTTTTTCTTAAAGTATATGCAAGCGTAAGAGAAAGCAATGCATTTTCTAAATGCAAGGCCCCATTCTAGATCCCCCTCGTTTTTCCTGAGTGTCCTTGAGGTTCCTACACCATACAGGAAAAGCAGATAAATTGCCTGTATTTCTCGGCTTCCATGGTGGGCAGCTCCTGCTCGATGCAAATTGCTGCATATGGCTAAAGAGACTGTTACACAGTTTTTGCTCTTTATATGATTTTTTCATCCCCTCTATGGGGGGGTATCTTCAATGCGTATTTTAGTGGGTCATCAGTCCTCCCTGCTGAGTTACTTCAATGCTGAGGCAACCTCTTCCTTGAAAAACTTTTTCTCCTCGGTGAGACCTAGGTAATTGGCTGGAAAGACTGCAGTACAATCATATTATGCTTATAATAAGATCTTCTGTTGCTGTCTTTCTCCTACCATCCTTCAATGCCTCAGATCAAAAGCGACCAAAAAGAAAACATAAAAACTGAATGGCTATGTAGCTGGAATGGAATAGGCAGCTAGATAAAGATAAATTTTATAACTTCAAAAAAAGGTTAATAATTTTAATAGCTTTCCCAATGCATAAATAACAACGGTTTTTCTGTTCTTGTTCATTATAGACTAACTGCATATATTTTAGATACAGAGCCAGGATCTTCTGTGCAATGTAGTTGCAGAGTAAATCTATCCAAGTCAGTGTTTTTGCTCCTGTTCAGACTAACCTAAATGAAAAGATTTGCGGATGCGGGGAGCACAATTTCACTTAGAACTGGTTTGGAAAGGGTTAGAAGTGTTACTTGCTGGCAGTGTTTTAATCAAACAAACTCTGAGCTCTTTGGTAGTTGAAAGTTGATGGACAGCATTGATGTAGCATTAGAGTCTGTCACAGAATATTTAATTCGTGCAACCGTTATCCTATTATTGCAAGTATTTCCATTAATTGCTGTAGAAATTCATCACCCTGACCTGGCTGAGCTCCAAAAGAAAGTGTTGAAGCTAATTAAACGTTGAATTTTAAGGTAAAATAGTAAATTGCTCATTAGAATCCATGGAATTCTGATTTATTCCTAACAGAACTAAATAATGTTTCACTTTGCAGAAATTGGGTCATAACATTTTTTTTTTAGCCTGACTGACGGTGTTGTAGCTTAGAAATCAATTAACTGGTCTTCATTTTTTTGCAGCAGTACACTTGTTTGGTTTAACCTGGCAACTACAGCCTGTTGAAGGGCAGCTATACGAAAATGGAGTTAGCAAAGGAAATAGAGGAACAGAATCCATGGATACTACTTACCCACCGATTGGAGGAAAAGTTTCTGATAAAACAGAAAAAAAAGGTATGTATGAATGGGGGGGAAAGGCAGTTTAGGACATTTAAACATTACTATGTATCTGATTTGTTACAGGTTTTGAATAAAAGTTGTATCTTCTCTGATACAGTATTAGAATGGATATCAAAAGTCCATGTCTTGATTATGTTTCCTTTAGGAGAACTCTTACTGAAATTACCGGAGTGAACCAAGCCTTTAGGAAAGTTATGTTCAATGCCAAAACAATTGCCCTTCTCTTGTGAGAGATGGGAGATTAGAGAGGTTGGGGAGCTCTCTTTTAAGGCGGGAAAGGGGAGAATTGTGAGAGATGGGAGATTAGAGAGGCTCTCTTTTAAGGCGGGAAAGGGGAGACCCTATCCACCAAGTCCCCCATTTATGCAGAAGGCTTGATGCTGCGCCTGTGTCTCATAGACCAAAGCCAGTCTTAGGCATAAGTGAAAATCTTTGTACTGACAGGCCAGAATATGCAGAAGGATAGAAATCCTAATGCTTTTAAAGGCATCCAGTCCTTTAAGGCTTACGCTAAAATACAGCATCCCTGTCAAATCCTGGCTCACCCAGTCGTAGTGAATGAGCCCACAGGAATCTGCTGAGGTTTCACATAACGACTGAGCTGGTCTAAACGCTCCCCGCTGCCCTGGGACGGTGGGGCTCTCGCCCCGCTTTCTCACTGTGCACCTTTATGGCTTCCCCAGGCGCCTGTAGGGATTGTCTGAGGTGTGAGTGAGTCGCCTCAGTTTGCTCTGCAGGCAGAAAAGGTTTTGGAGGAAAGTGGATAGTCTTCTGCCTCATTAGCGAGCCGAACTGGTTCTTCTAAAGGGACAGACAAGTGCCAGGGTTGGCACAGGACTGTGCGACCAGGAGTGTGGAGCAGAGAGCAGGGCAGCTTGGAGAGACGCACGGTTTCTTCCTCTCAAATCCTTTCGTTTAATATTGCTAAATCACCTACCCCTATATTAGTTAAAAGCTCTGACACGTATTTCCCATTCACCGCCACGTGATGACAACCACGACAATGCTTTATGACTGTAGGAAGCAGATGGCCCTCCCATTTCTTCTTATAATACTTAGAAAAAAGAAAAAGCAGATAAATCAAATAATTATATCAGAGAATAGTGAATGGGAGTATAATACAAACACCAGTCATTTGAAGGATGGTAAAGCTGTCCTGAGAGCTCTGCAATGATATGAGATCTCCAGAGTTTTCAGTTTCCAGAGCAGAGCAGCTGTCCAATTTTGTGTATGCCAGCTAAGATCTGACTCTAAATATGAAACAAGGTGGGACTTTGTTGTACCAGTCCCTCCAGAAGGAAGATTACATCCCACAACAGTAGTCTTACAAATCAATGTGGCACAGCTGCTAAGAGATCATATAGGATAAATGAGCAGTAATAATTATTATTTTCCATTATTTCTTCCCTTAGAATGGATTGGCCATGAATTACAGTAAACGTTTTATGCACTTTGGTATTGTTATCCGGGTGCACTGTGGGAAATACCAACCTACCTCAAACAATTTTTCACAACTACATAAAATAATTTTGTCAGTAGATTACAGATTTAACAAAGCATTTGGCTTCCGAAGGAGGAGGTGCAGGAAAAACATCGAAACATGGTCTTAGAAGTTAGATGCTTGAAAACAAAAGAGGCGATGGGTGGGTCAGTAGTGACTGAATGTGGTAGATAAAGGACAAACAAATCCCCTTGCCCCAAACAGTCCCAACCTCACGTGAAGCCGCAGGATTTGCCAAAAACACTGAGGCATGGACGTATCACTGAGGGCTCATCAAGCACTGTCAGAGACTAGTGTTGAATGCAGTTAGACTGTTGTCCCACCTTGTCCCCTTCCGTCTTTAGGGGTAACCTGTAATCCAGGGCATGCTAACCGGGCGTATACACTTGGGAAAGCACAAGAAAAAAGCATGCGAGCTTAGTACCAGGCATTGGTACGTGGGCTCAGGGTCATTTCTGCTGCTTTTTTTTTTCTCTTTCCCCCCTTCTTTTTTGATAGATACCAGTGATTTTATTCCCAGTGCTTGCACCAAATCCTCCATATAGATGTGGTGAGAAGGAGTATTTGGAAACAGGCAGCTCCTTTCACTTCAGCAGTATGCCACAGAAAGAGTTGGTGTTTTGCCTCTAACTTGGAGCCCCTCGTGCGATTTCACAGGAATAAATAAGTGCTACCAGATACTGTGAACTGCCAGTTTCCCAGCTCTATGTAACTGCACAGGATGCTTTGCCAGACTTTGAAAGCATATATTTTAACTAATCTTTTAATGAAAATCAAGTTGACAAACCAGCAAGTCAGATTTCTTTAAGAAACCATTTTATAACATACTGACCCGTGGCTATGAGTTAACATTTTACTACATAGCAATGTGATTAAAAACTCAGACGTCCTATTGATGTTGGTATTTACCCAGGGAGTACAAGAAGATTGATTGTTTCAGGATCAGCAATAGTCAGCATACGGGTACGTTCTTGTGAAGATAATTGGCACCATGCTGTTCAGAGTTTTACTTTCTTGAAGCCAAAAGAAAGCTGTGATTAGGAATCAGTCTTAGAGTTTTAGACTTACAAAGAAAGTGTACCTAGAAGGAATAGGAAAGATTTAACACCAATTGGTGAGATTGGGAGCTATATCAGGAATAGAATGTAGATAATTAAATGATACTTTTTCATAGGAATAATGCTGTTATGAGAAAGTTGTTTTGAGAACAAGTGCAGGACTTGTATCATATTGGAAAAGCTTATTTCACAGTGTCTTTCAAGAAAGAGCAAGAAAGCCTAAGAGAATAGTCTGCGAGTAGTGTATCTTTAGATGGCTTGTTTGTAAAGCCACATACCTGTGTCGTGCAAGTAAGCATAGAATCAGAGCTGAAGTGTTTTTCTGTGAAGAAGAAACAATGGCTCACTGAATATGAAAACATGCACTTCAGACCTGGCTCTTACAGTAGTCATTTCATGCTGTGTGGTTATCTGAAAAAATAATACATGAAAGGAAGGCATGCTGCAACTACATAGTCTCAGTGGACATATATTTTTTCATGTATGTTACCCTTGTCAATAGCAACGTGCACTTCTTTCATACATAGAGAGATAAAACTAAATATAAGGCATGTGATTTTTTTAAAGATTATATGAAATTATCGCTAGAACAAAGGCATTTTCAGCCAAATGTGGAAAAACTTCTGAGATACGTTGTTTTGGAGCCTTAGCAACACTAACACGTCAATTAAGAAAAATCTGATAGCGTCAATTAGTGAAAATACTCTTTCTCAAAGGATGCCTGTGCCCTAACTAAAGATGCGATGATTTTTATTTTCAGCAAAGAACCAGGCCTTTTCACTTTGACAAACTGAAAAGCAGTTACTAGATTTTTAAAGGACCTTGAACACTGACCAATAATGCCATTAACTTCAAAAATGATACTGTATCCTTGAAGCTCCACTTAGTGCTCTGCCATCTTGTAATTGAATCTCATTAATTACTGTGTGTCAATATCACCAAAAAGTTCCTTAGTGTTTTATTTAACCCAAGGTAATTGCTTGCAAAGAATCATTAAGTTTTAATATCTCTGGAGTATTGGAAATGGGAGGGGATTTAAATTTACATCAGCCAAGTAGGATCTAATGTGCGGGTTGGGGCAGGAGGAGATACACCTTTTGTACCCAACTTCATTAGAAGCTTAAATATGTTTTCAAAACTGAAGACTCAATGTTGGGGCTTTTTTCCAAAAAAAAAAAAAAAGAAAAGAAAAAGCATTGTTAAAGCAGCAGTTTTAAAACATTTTAACTCATGAACTAAGTAACAGGTGCATTTTTTAGAGTTCTAGAAAATAAGTTTTGTGCTCTAAGAATAGACATTTTTATGTGGCAAGATGTTAAAAGTCACTTCTAGTTCTTGCCTTAGCTTTGTTTTTGGCGACACAAAGCAGCCATAAAGCTGGAAGATCCAGTACCCTGAGAATTGCTCCTGCCCTGTAAATTAAAGTCCCTATTCATTAAGAATGCTAAGTACCTCCTACACTAGTTAAAACCTATGTAAGAGCCCACTGAGGATCTTGATGCTATTAATATGTTTAGGGAAAAGCTGGCCATAGCTTTGCTACTGCTGTTTTCATTTCCAGTGGAAATTTACAATATTTCAGGTAGATTATGTTGTATTGTATATTTATATGCATTATTGTAAAAAGTGAGATTCCAGTCATTTTTGATTGCTCCTCTTTGGTTTTCATCCTGATGTTGGAATGAAATGAAGCGTAAATAGCTAAGACTGCTGAATTCAGTTTTCTGCTCTTGGGTGCTTCTTGGGGGTAGGACCTTATCTTGCTTTTTTTTAGTCAAGAAGATGAGTTTTGCAAATCTTATGATGTAGTTACGTCCGATGTTAGCAGGACTGAATCCGTGGCTTGCAGCTTGTCAGGATGCTGATCACTGGCAGGCATTAAACGCATAAAGACAGTGATACAAGCCAGCAAAGCAAGCCAGCTCCAATTTGGTTTGGCAATGACTTCTTCACACATTCCATTTCCCTTTCTATTTCAGCTCTCTCTTACCCTTGTGTAAAGTTGCGCGCTGTAGCTGTCTGCAAATTTATTGTTAGGCATTATGAAATTATGCCAATTTTCTCCATAGATTTAATGCCTGTCCCTATCCTTATGCCCTTGTATATCCTTTTACGCAGAAAGACCAAGCAAAAACAGATGTTCTTTATTTCTCTAGGACTAGACTATCACTGCCATAATAAAATCATTAGGAATAGTGGTGAATAGAAATCCAGGCTTGGACATGGTCTCTGACCTACCAGATTTGATGCATTTTCTGTCTTCACCAGTGTCCATTTGCGTAGCTTATGCAGTAGCCCTTCGGCAGTAGCCTGGACAATGTGCCTCTCTGGGCATTCGCAGTTGCATGGGTTGTGTTTGCACAGCCTGATGTTCTCATATGAAGACTTGTGTTTACCTCACAGCACTGGGACTTGGCTATAATCAGGAGCATGTTCTAAGATGTGCAGGGCAAAAACCCTCTGCAGTGTATATTGCTGTAAATATTGCAGGCAAGTTTGTTTAAATTTTTCAGTTACTTGCATAAAAAAAATGCAATAGGTTCAGTGAAATGTCCTCAGTTTAAGGGTTGGTTTCAGTATATTCCAGTGTATATGTATATGGGTCTGACCTATTATTTTCACCCGCTATGAATATGGCGACTGATTGTTTTCTTTGTTTCTGGAAAATTAGTGTTTCAGAAGGGACGGGCCATAGACACAGGAGAAGTTGAGATTGGAACACAAGTTATGCAGACCATCCCACCCGGTTTATTCTGGCGCTTTCAGATTACTATACATCACCCCATGTACCTGAAATTTAACATTTCACTGGCGAAGGATTCTCTGCTGGGAATTTATGGCAGAAGAAACATTCCACCTACTCATACTCAGGTAATTAGTAATAAAGTAATTCTGTCGTGCTCTACGTTTTCAAACGGCAGAGTGGGTGCTAATGTTCACGATGCACTTTCAAAGCACAGAGGACGGAAGGAAGGAACTGGATTTAACCACAAAAAGTGGGGGGGACTGTTCATCCCTTTCTTTTACTGAGGTCTAGCTATCCCCTCAAACTGTGCTCTTTCAGCCTGAGGGACAGGATGGTACTAGAAAGGTCAGCAATTCTGGCCACCCTGTAGGAGTGTGGAGAAGGCTGGATGGGTGCAACTGTGTAACTGTGAGGCACCAGCACCTTCTGTGGGGGCAGTGGGCTGGTGTGCCAGATCGTTCAGAAATGCTCTAGTCTTTTCAGTATTTCATCTCCATCAAAGCCAACAGATTACATAGTGTAAAGATCTAGTAGGAAAAAAGCTGTTTCTAATTCTGATTTCTAATATGAAGATTACTTCTAGAGATTTTGCAGGAGAAAGCAAAGCAATAAGGTAAGCAATAAGAATATGCAGTATTGCTGGTCATGCTGAATCATTTTTTAGACTTAACATATTGGCATATTAAACTATCATTTGTATGGATAATTAAGAGATTTACCAGTTTTGTTATAGCAGGGCCACACAGTATGTAGTGAAAATACAGAAATACAGGAAATCATGGAAAAATTGCCTGGAAGAGACCTCTGGAGATGATCAAGTCCAACTTCAAAAATGGTTCACTAGAGTTTTCATCTCCAACGTGTTAAGTGCTGTCATTGGCTTTAACTGAAGCCTTCAGTTGAGCTGAAGTTGAACTTTTCTGAAAATTAAGCTGCAGAATGCCTAGAAAAAAATAGAGAGAAATATAGCCATCCCTTAAACAGGGATTCATAGAAAGGTTTACATCCCCTAGTGTCTTTGAGGTTAATTGGTCTTAAAGCTGACAGTATCCACTCCGTTAAGTTTTCCTTTTTTCAGTGTCACAAAATAGATGCTTATTTGCATCGATAAAACTACATATAAAGAAAAAAGTATATGCATATGTTGATATGTGATATTTAAAGGGACAAACATTTAAAAATCTGGTATAGACTAATAGCCTATTTAATCTGTATTTGGCATTTGAGATTAATCATAGCATTACCTAGGCACTACAGCTTGGGAATTCTGGAATTGTTCCCATTAAAGAGATGTAGTTTTTGAAGTAAGTCTGTTGGATTTAATGGAGCAGGTCTGAATTTACCCAGCTGTACTAGAGAGCAAGTTTTGACGTCAGATTTCTTACTTGCTATATGGGTCTTTTTATGTGGAATGAAGGACTGAAGCTAAATGGACCAAGTTATGCAACTTCTATTCACATTGGTGAATACTTATTCAATCAGGCAGTTCCTCTGAAGATTTCAGTGGTTTATCCCTGTTTGACTGAGACAATGCAGAGTAGATTCTATAAAAATTTGCCAGGTGGTTAATTTTTGCTCATTATTATTTCAGTTTGATTTTGTAAAACTGATGGATGGAAAACAGTTAATTAAACAAGAACCAAGAAACTCAGAGGAGCCTCCGCAAGCTCCCCGGAATCTGATCTTAACTTCATTGCAAGAGACAGGTTTCATTGAATATATGGATCAAGGAGCTTGGCACATGGCATTTTACAATGATGGAAAGAAAGTGGAACAAGTATTTGTACTAACTACAGCAATTGGTAAGGACAGTTACAATAAAATTGTTATTCTGATTTCTGTGGTGGGAAACTGCATTTGAAAAGATATTGTTGACCTTGATTCCAGCTTCTCTTAAATGTACTCTTAAATAAGTTCTTTTTCAGTGTAGTTTACGTGACCTCGGTGGAGTAGCTTCATGCTTATGCCAATATTAGACCAAGTAGCAGCATTTGTATGTTAAAGATGGATATTACCAAATTAATTACATTTTCCTATGTTTTAAGATTATTATATGCCAGCTTAAATATCTGAGTAATTTCTGGTGATACTGTGCTCAAAATAAAAAAGACTATGTATGTCCTCTCTATTTAAATGGGAATCATAAATCCTACAAAAATTATCCAGACTGCAGGTTCTTATTTGCATTATTTTAATCATTTAGAAAATCTAAAAGGCAGCTTTTGTGGGCTTGGTTGTGGCTGTTGTTTGTTTGATAAGAGAGTTGCTGTTATTTTATATGATTATTTCATTGCCCCATTTTGTTTGGAACACAGAAGGCAAATACAGGAGACAGTGTCCCGGTGGCGTCTTAAATCACTGTTGCCTTTTTAATAAATTAAGGTGGACAAATGTTTGCAACTTTACTTGTTGTCGGTGAGCAGTGCTCACACACAGGGTTTGTTGGGAATTTAGTGTCAGGTAAGTGTTGTAGTATTTATGACAGTGTTGGTTTGCTGTAAGATTTTAACCACTTTGCCCTTTAGTTAACCTGTTCAACCATATGTTTAGCAAGATGTCTTTACTAGTAATGGACATGCCATCTGCTCTTTAGAACAATTAGATGCTATTTTTACTAGATGGCAAATACTTTGTAGAAAAGGACAGTATGATTCAAATACCAAGATTAGGAAGGGCTTGCAACAAAATAATTCAAAAAAAACAAACAGAACTGTAGTGATGATTTTATGTGAGAAAGTTCTTATTCGCTATGTTTAGAAAAAAAGTATCTTTTACTACCAGGAGAGATGCCATTATTCAGTCCCATATGAGAAAGTAACGCCCAAGGAGTCTGTGGAGCGTCTTCACAGACACTCTGCGAAGAGCACAAAACCTGGCCAAACTCCAGCCCGGATCAGGATACAAACACCTTCCTCCTTGTTTATTTCTGCTGTTACACAGAAGTGTTTATACCGGCGTTTCTAAACAGTATTTCATCTCTGAGTAGGGTACCCTCTCCAAGAGAAAGCCACAGTTTGGTTCTTGTCCCGTTTGGGGAGAAGGGTGGCGTCGCGTCCCTCCTCCTGCCCCTTGGCGGGGCTGCTCCTGGCCAGGCAGGATCGCAGAGCGGGCAGCAGTGCAGGGCACCGGGCAGGCCGCGCTCCCCCTCCTTACACTCAGAAATGTCTGCGAGGAGGTGAATGGCGGGGAAAAGAGGGTTCATGCTGCAAGAAGCTACTGCTGATGCATTTGAAAATAATGCCAGCTATTGTGTTTTCGCAGTCTATGTATTTTCTTCTGATGCTTCCCTTTCTACGATGGTTCTGTGTTTCTTTGGAGTTTTTCTGCCAGTGCTCTCATATTCACCAAAAAAAAAAAAAATGAATTGCCTTCTGATTCTTGACCCTTCTCCCTACCGTAGGCTTTGGGGGGTATCTAGAGCTACATGCATATTTTCTCTCTCTCTCCTGACAAAGGAATCAACCGGGAGCACGGGTGCAGACACTGCGAATGCAGAGAAAGCTTGGCCGTGTCTCTGCTGCGTATCTCTGCCCCCGCGAGAAGCAGCCGTGCCCTCCCCTGTTAGGCAGAGTTTTGAGTAGCGGGATTTCAGTTATGTAAAAAAATCGCTTTTGCTAAGACTTCTGCTAAAGCTCCGATCAGACTTTCCCCAGGGCGTTGTGTAATTTGCGTGCAAAACACGGCACACCTTGGGTAGTCTCACGGACTGAATGAAGGGCGTCCCAAACTGGGCCTTGTATCCAGAGGAATTCACCTTTCAAACCGTTAATTCTTCACGTCAGTGTAGGGGTGGCGTACCACGTGGTTCTAGAAACCTGAGAAGTCAGGCAAGTAGGTAGATATCTGCAGCATAAGAGAAGAATTGATTATGAACAATAATATGTGAAAATTAATAATGAACAGCGTATATGTGGAAAAAAAATTACTTCTGAAAAAAAGCTAATTTTTTGTCTTTGAAACAGACGTCCGTGTGTTGGTGGTGAGCAGGTGGTGAACTGCTATGTAGCAAAGGCACCTCCTTTGGTATAAACTGATAATCCGAAAGGAAAACAAACATTTTAAAAAACAATAGCATTTTCCAAGAGAAACTAATTCTTATCTGTCCAAGTGCCCATAAATAACATCAAAATCAACGTATTTCATTTATTCATATTAGTTGAAGCATATGCTTATATCCCTTCTTTTGACAAGCTGAGTTTAAAAGTGTATCAGATTTGATCAGCTTAAATATTCCAATGGAATGGCCTTTCCTGAGAGAAGTTTCTCCTCCCAAAACATCTGCCGTGGACAGATACTCTTTGAAAGGATCCGGGTTTTCTTCTGTGTCCCCAGCAGTTGTTACTCTGCGGAGAATGGGTCGTGTTCCCCGTCTTCCTGCAGCCAAAGGTACTGCCCCGGCTCTCTCGGCGCCTGTGCCTGCGCGTTAAATAGTCTTGTGGCTGGGGCGATCCCGCCGGTTTGTGACCCCCTGCCGTCCTGTGCCACCCTGCACTGCCTGCGGAGGTCTGCAGCCCTAGCGCTGGCTTACGCAGCACGTGGGCATAGTTTAGCCCTGAGTTTTCTTCTTATTCTTCACCCAGAATCCACATCAAGCCGTTTCATGAGGGCAGCCACTGAATCCCTGTAGGAAATACAGCTGTAAATTAAAAACAGCTAGCCAGCATGTAGATATGAGCTGCCCCAAGAAGTGCAAAGTTAAGAGGTTCCCTAGCCAAAACCGTGTGATGGAAGATGTACACGTGTAAGAGCAGAACTGAAGAGGGTTTTTTTCTTGAAATCTAGTTCTTACTCTTTTACTGCATTGAGCTTCATCACTTAACGTGAGATGGTATTTTTTCATCTGATTGAGTAGAACTGGAAATCTTTCCCTCCACCATGGAAGCCCACTCACCATATGAAGTCAGCCCAATGAACACCATAGAAAACAATTTATTCTCTAAGCAAGTTTAAAACAAATTACTTCAACAATAAAAGAAAGTATTTAAGGTGGGCATTTCTCAGCAAATACCGTGGTTCTTGCAGTGCTTTTAATGGTGGTAAATTTTACATGAACACTTACTTTAAAAGCTTTCTTGTGTAATATAAATGATGCACTTGTTATCTCCAAGCTGTCAAGGCAAAATCTAATATTTGTAAGTTGCTTGAACAGGAATTTTGTTTTATGCTCCCTATGAATGGAAATGGGCCTTTTACTGCCTCTGCACCTCTTTGAGATGTGTCCTGCAGAGTGGTGAAGATGCCTTTCATTTCAAAAGTCAACCAATTTCTGTTTTTCTTTGTGCCCAACTCTCTGGATAAATAGAAGTCCTGGATGACTGCTCTACTAATTGCAATGGGAATGGCGAATGTATCTCGGGGCACTGCCACTGTTTCCCAGGGTTCCTTGGTCCTGATTGTGCAAAAGGTAATCTCATATTAACTGATCCGCAGTGCATGACAGGGATCATGATTATTGTGTGTGACTGCTGTGCTTGCAAAGATTCCAAGTGATTAAGGGAGATTAAATTCCTTTTTCCAGCCAGATGGCAGATACAGTACAAGCACAGGCGTTGCAAGTCTCTTTATGCTGTGTTCTTGCTAAGGTGCCTCAACCACTTCTCCTTCAGTGACTTTCGGAGTTAAGGTTCCTCCATCGCTCCTTGCGCCCTTTCTTTAAAATACGTTTTTTAACCAGTGTGTTAGTTTAGCGTAGTATTCACTCTTACTTAAAAGTGGCAAGCCAGCTGTTTCATTTTGGAGAAAATGGTATGAGACAATCAAACGCTTCCGTGGCCTTAGCTTGAATAGGATGTAGAAGAGAAACCTAAAGCAATTTAGAGACTGTTTTCCAGGATTCTAGGCAAAAACTTGCTAAAAAAAAAAAAAAAAGATTGTAAGTGAGTTTATTTCTATTTCATGTATTTTTGTCAGTATTCTCTGACATGTTCTTAATATTAAGTCTGGAGAGTCTCATGTTTTTCTGCTGTTTCCTCACATTTAGGATTGACTTTGTATTTTAAGAGATTGGTTGGCTCAGAAATTGGTACTATGTTGTAAAACTAAGCTTCCAAATCACTGGTTTACACTCAGATCAGTAACAGCTCAAACTCAAATAATGTTAAGTCTGCTTAGAAGAAAGAAGAAGAAAAGGCGATATCTTGCTCCAATTCATTAGAACAAATGCTAACATCACAGAAAATCATAAGCAGGCCTCACTGTGCAAATATCAAGCGAGGCTAGTCAAGGGCAGGAAACCATCTTTATCTTCTGAGATGTCCTGTTTCGGGTCAGAATTAAGGTATACTAGAGAGGCAAGATGAGGAGGCTTGTATTACTGTTACACTTCCTATTTCAAACATTTCAGTGCGTCACAGCCCAGAGTGGAGGGTTGAGGGGGCTGGAATTGAAAAAATAATTACGGAATAATAAATGCAAGAAGTGTTAATCCGTGTAAGTATTTAAATACATTACAGAGGTCAATTTGCCTTCTTCAGATTCGTGCCCAGTGCTATGCAGTGGAAATGGAGAATATGAGAAAGGCCACTGTGTATGTCGAAACGGGTGGAAAGGACCAGAATGTGACGTTCCAGAAGAACAGTGCATTGATCCAACCTGCTTTGGCCATGGCACTTGTATCATGGGAGTCTGCATCTGTGTCCCTGGATACAAAGGAGAGATTTGTGAGGAAGGTTTGTTAAGTTTCCCTGTTTTTAATTATCATTTCTCGTTCTGTCTTTAATCTGCCAACCTATTCTAAGTTTTAAGGTGATTAAGAACTCACATAGATATAAGAAACTTACTGTGAAGTGCTACTGTTTTTCTCAAAAGCACCTTTACTGTCTCATGGAAAGTAATGTTGGGATAGTAGATTTGAAAGATAGAAGGCATTTAGGCCTCGGTGACAGTTAGTGGGAGTTCATCACCTAATTTCCAAGATTCGCATTTTTATTCTGAAAGATTAAAGCTGTTTAACGTTGTCTAATTAGAATATGTAATCACTGTAGCATGGGCAGACCTCTGAAATGCTCAGTTTCTCCTTCGGTCCAGGAGGACTGTAGTTCTCAGGTGATTTCACTTGCCTCCCGCCATTGAATACCAACAGCCAGGTCTGGTAGAAGTCCTTGCCTTTCAGCGAGTGCTGGATTCTCAGTCCTTCAGGCGTTTCCTGCAAAGTGGCCCTGTGAGCCAAGGATTCCTATTTTTGGTGAAAGTTGTGCGATCATCCTGACTTGTTTGTCTCTACTTTCCTTCTCTCAGACTGCTCGTACTTCTTTCAGGAAGGGTGGCTAACGCCACAGAGCCTCCTTACAACCAGTAGCCTAGTCCCATAGCGTGCACTACCAGAGCCTTTGCAGACTTTTTTTCCTTTGCCAAAGGCTAAGGGTAAGACAATTGGAAGATCATTTAAATGAAATACAATGTGGTCGTTTTCCAAAGTAATCAGTAGATCATAATCAGCTGTTCTCTTTCTTCATTCTGTTGCATCTCAGACTTTTTCTTTGAAGGATGTACTGACAGCAAACAGTTTCAGTTTACCAGAGTGTATTGTGTGATGCTGTTGTCGTATGTCATTTTTACTGGGAGCCTATATTCAGGGTACTAAAATGGCATCCTTTAAAGCTTGGCTAATAAAAGTGGGAAATTACAAGAACGAGTAATTGTACTTTAGCCGGTTATAGTACCGATGTGTGTCTGCCCTCATCTATAGCAAGAAGCAGCTGTCATTTGCCTTTTAGCGTTTCTGAGATAGCTCATCAGCTTACAACTTACATGTGCATAGCCATGAAAAGCAGAACCGTTCTTCATGCTTGCCCTGATTTGATGTTTTTTTCAGTAGCCCCTCACCCTGCAGCTAGTGACAGCACAGTTCATGCCTCCTGTTGCGTAGGTTTTAGGTGCTTCTTTTGAGTAAAACACAAAGGAAGCTCTTACGTGGCCTGAATTACAGAATCACAGAATCACAGAATCGTTTAGGTTGGCAGGGACCTCTGGAGATCATCTAGTCCAACCTCCCTGCTCAAGCAGGGTCACCTAGAGCATATTGCCCAGGATCACGTCCAGACAGTAATGACAGACAGTCACTCAAGCTAATGCAGTGAACAAAGAGTCCATCTCCAGAGATGGAGTCTTAAAATTATTTATAAATTGCCATTCATTTAGACCACCACTGTATACACCATATCATGGATCCACTGTTATTCTCAACTTGTCCTCCCTCTGTTCCCTTGATGAACTGTTCACCTTCATCTGTTCCACCTTGTGCATTCAGTGAGCTAAACACTTGGTGGTGGAGACTGTCACATACCACCTGGATGCACAATGAAGCCTCAGTCAGATTGGCTGCAAGTTATTTGCCATAAATAAATAAATAAATCCAGCTATCTCTGCTTGCCATCAGAACATTTGCACATAAGTAAGGGTCTCAAGGAGTGCTGACTACTTTAGAGCGAGAAGAGGTGAATAAGCTCATGGAGTACTTTGTACAGTTTACTTATGTTACTGGGGCAGCGTGAAGGCTTACTGCAGAAGATCTAGTTTTCTTGACTGCTAGGACATGCTCCTAAGGGTAGCTACTATTACTCTAGTGTTTCTGTTCTTGGAAATCCAAGAAAGTAGGCTCAGGTTGTTATGAGCTACATCAATATATCATGTACAAGACAGCATTTGCTATTGGAAATACTCATGTTAGGCTGCCAAGGGAACCAGATACATCCACTTTAGATCTCATCTCAATCAAATGGAGAGAGCTTTTCTGACCATTGCTTTTCCAGAGTTTGCCTGAGGTTATTACATAGGTTACAAAGTGGTTGGTTGTTCCATCTAACACAGGCAGAAGCTTTCTGCTTGCTTGGGGCAACAGAAGGAAGCAGTTTAAGTGTCCCAGGTCTACCAGCTTCTCATTGATGAGTTGAATTACAACCAAGAAACCAACGTAGCTAGCAATCCTTCTGAGGCTCAGGTCCCAGCTCTGGGAAAGCCTTTCCCTGTCCTCCTTTACTAACTTGACTAGTAAACACTCAAGCAAGTTTTGGACCATGTCAGAGTCAGGTTCTACCTCCAACTACAAGAGGCTACAATGGGAGAAAAGAGATCTTGCAATTAAGCATCAGAAAACTGGATCCATTTCCATTTCCCTAACACTGTCAAACCCATTTCTGCTCCCCCCAATGCTGTCAAATTCTAGCATTTCATCGGCCTCTCCATGCTTCAGTGCCATCTGTAAAACAGAGATGCAAATAATCCCTTACTTCTCACAGCTGTTCTATCAATTAACTCACCAGGGTTCAGCAATGCTGAAAATGCCAGTGATAGGAGCTAACAGAGCACACACAACATCACCTCTTTTCTTTGTCAGCTTATTAGTTACTGCAAATATTAAGGTGTTTGCAAGCAAGTGTATGTTAACTGCCGAAATAAAGAGATAAATGAGAGCACAGAATAACCTTTCCCTGCCGATTAATCAATGTGTCACATTTCTTGGCTATGATAAAACTTCTGATCGATACATAATTTAGTGAGTGTTGCTGTAGTACAGGCTACCTACTGCTGCTCTATCTCCTGCTATGGCTATATCTCCTGTTGGGCTAGTATTAAGTAGTGCTGTGTTAAGAGATGATGCCAGCCCAAAGCCTTCATCCTTCAGTTTTATTGGATAAGCCTGCATGCTTAGAGCAAATGTTTGTTTCACATATTTCACTCAGCTTCCGAAACAGAAGACAGCAACATTTTTATAACCATAGCAGATCTTAAAAATCAAAGTAAGCATGGTAGGTTTTGTGGAACTTTTTAATGGAATAACCAAGGAGGTTTTCATGTAGTGATGCTTGAATATTAACCAGCTCTCTTGGACCCCTCTTCCTTCTAGGGCCCTACCCCATGAGATTCCCCTAAGTAGGTCCCTGAAGAGGCCAAAGTCAGCTCTCCTGAAGTCCAGCGTTGCAATCCTACTCATTGCCCTGCTCCCTCCTCGCAGGATCCTGAACTCCACCGTCTCATGGTCACTGCAGCCAAGGCTGCCCCCAACCTTCACCTCTCCCACTAGACCTTCTTTGTTCGTTAGTACAAGGTCTAGCATTGCACCTCTCCTTGTTGGCGTCTCCACCACCTGAGTCAAGAAATTATCATCCGTCCTCTGCAGGAACCTCTTTGACTGTTTGTGCCTAGCTGTGCTGTCTTGCCAACAGATGTCAGGGTGGTTGAAGTCTCCCATGAGAACCAGGGCCTGTGATCGTGAGGCTACTTCCAGCTGTCGGTAGAAGGCCTCATCGGTGACTTCCTCCTGGTCAGGTGGCCTGTAGTAAACCCCCACAACAGTGTCACCCATGTTACCCTGCCCTTTAATCCTTACCCATAGGCTCTCGACTTGCTCTTCATCCACCCCGAGGCAGAGCTCCATACATTCTAGCTGTTCCCTCACATAAAGAGCAACTCCACCACCTCGCCTTCCTGGCCTGTCTTTCCTAAAAAGTACATAGCCATCCATGACAGCATCTCTAATTCTCTATTGAGGAAAAAAATGCAGAAAATTGGGATATATTGGATGGATTTTACATATCTGATAGGATTTTAAGAGGGAAGATCAAGAGAGTGCTTCTAACATACTGAGTTGTTGGTGTTTTCAAAAATGGACAAAATCAAGAAAATTGAGATGGAGAAAAGCATGCAGCGTACCCATTTACGCACTGAGGCCACGGTACTGAACAAGCCTGTAGCTGATGAGAGGTTGACTGAAATTGTATTCAGTTGCTTTGCTTGCTGGCATAATGTGATCCTGTAAATCAGTTGAAAAAGTAATTGAGATAAATGTGTTCAGACAGCTATTGAAACTAAGATCATGAAAAAGTTGGGATTTTTACAAGAAGAAAAATACTGAAGTGAAAAAAAGAGGGGAATTGCATAGAACTAGGATGGATGACACAAACTTATACAACCTATACTTTGTGCAGCAAATTTTTATTGTAACAATGTGTGCATGCCGTGACTGTTAACTGTCTACTGTGTTGTACAACATAGCTTGTACAGTAGTGGAAGTAATTCTGTCAATAATTCAAATGACGTTATTATATGTAAACCTGAGGATCATTAACTGTTGAATGTAATATTATAGCAGTATTGTTAACATCGCAGACATAATAACAGATGTGATATCCAGAGAATACCAGTAGCTATATGTATTCATTGCTATGGACACCCTTTCAGTTTGTCCTGTCAGATTATCAGTACCATCCTAAGTGACGCTTTTTGAACTGTTCGTGGAATCACTCAATTAATTTTAAAAGATCAGCCAAGCTGCATTTCAGGGTGAGAGAACATTGCCAAGTACTTTTGTCATGTGCTCAGCAAGTTGTACTTTGTCCAGAAACACTGATTTCCCTAAGTCCATTGCACAAGGCTGGAAATGTTGAAAAAGATACCCAAAAAAAATCCTGCAATAAGATCTTCAATTAGTGGTGTAGCATGTTCAAAAGATAAAATGCCACTTGTCAAAAAGTTTGATAAAGTAGAGGCCATTAATCTATAAGTCTGAAGTATTTAGTCATCTGTTACTGAAACAGAGAACAGCTTCTTCATTCATCCAGCACAGAATGCTGTTTTTAAGTTTACAATTTGTTTACTAAAGAAATCCTCATGCTAATACTTGAAACAGACATAGAAGAACTTTCAGGAAGCATTTTTAAGATTGTCTTGAAGCATGATCTAACATGGATAGGCTCTTGACTAAGAGGGCTCAGACACCCCACAAATTCCTCTTCAGCTAAGCAGTCCTACTTAGGGGCAGGCTATGTGTTCTGCTAAACATTTGTCTTATTAAGGAAATGCTGGGTCTTTATGAAAGAATATGCTCATTATACAGGACTAACCAGCTGATTTAAATTCTTCTACAGAGCTCCTGAATTCTTCACTAGGAATAGTTTAATCCAAATTGGGAACAAATCTTGTTCTTGGTCTGTTTGCAAATTGTTCATCAGTATGTTATGTCTGTTATGAATCTGTTCATTATCTGCAATTGCCCGGCACATACTTTTTATGAGTGTGTAAGATTTTTGTGGTTAGTATTCAGTCAAAGATTCACTGTTCAGGGTTAGCGGATGACCATTTTGGGGAGATCAAATTCTCTGCTATAAAAGTAGTTTTCCACAGGAAATGTAAAGACTAAATCTTTCTTTTCCCAAGTGCAACTAAAACATAGAGCGCAAATGCCCAGATGGAAACACAATGCATGATTGTAGAAATAGTTAATTGTTTCAGTTCTTTCCCAACTCTACTGAAACACAGACTTGGCTAATTTGGGTCAATGAGTCTATCCAGGGAATCTGAATGTTAAAAATAAGAAAATACCCATGACAAGCAGAATCATAAGATCTCTAACAATCCACGTATTTACTGGTTTTCCTGTTCTTAGTCTATAGTTTTGCACAGCTGTTAGCATAGACTGTTTTTCCTTGTATTTGTTAACCTTATTTCTGTTTGCATATTTGCACAGAAATCACTTTTTTAACGTAAGTAACCTGAATCCTTGATGTTGTATTTCACCAGGAAACCTTGCACTAACTGTGCAAGATTTAAGCTTTAAGTTGTATATTCCCTGCTTTCCAGAGGACTGCCTGGATCCGATGTGTTCTGGCCATGGTGTTTGCGTCCAAGGGGAATGCCACTGCTCCGCAGGCTGGGGTGGCGTGAACTGCGAGACATCCCTCCCTGTGTGCCAGGAACAGTGCTCGGGTCATGGGACGTTTCTCCTGGATACAGGACTCTGCAGCTGTGAGCCACAGTGGACGGGTTCAGACTGTTCAACAGGTATGACAAGATTTTACTTTCTCAGTAAAACCTATTAAAAGCTTTTGTTTTGTGTTAGGCTCTCTGACCTAAAGAGGCTCATGTCTGACCCTCACCAGTTAGAAATACTACTATTAGTTTAAAACACAAGATGGGGTGAACTAGAGGTGCTGCGGTATTGAAGTCTGATTTCTTGTGGGATATGGAAGTGAGTTGGCAGCAGCTGGCAAGGGTAAAATAGCTTTCTCCTTGTTACAAGAACTCTGACTGTCTGATGGTGTGGCAGCAAGTTTGGTAGTCCTATTGGAGTGCAGGTGCCTCCTGGCTTTGGTTGGAGTTAAGCAGGATTCGCTGAAGCTGTCCAGCACTTACTGGGATCATGCCTCCAATGCAATGAGGGAATCCACAACTCTGAGAGAGTCTGGAGATATATGAAAACAGGGTCTAAATCCAATGATTCATGAGTAAGAAGCCTCTGTCAAAAAAACGTTAAACAAAAGCGGTTGCCTCTCATGCTGGCATAAAGATTGTTTTTTGTGAGAGGAACGCCAAGGTTTAATCCCACTGAATCTGTTTAAGAGTTCAAATGGATTTGCTATGTGCTTTGTACAGGTAGATTTAGTATTCTTGAAATGAATACACTCAGGGCATTTTACGCCCATAATGGAGCATGTCATTACCAAAGTATGTACTACATGCGTACGTAGTAGCATATCCCAGTACAAAATAGATCCAAGTGACAGACTAGCTGAAGGCAATCAGTGGTCCAGGTTTGTCCAGTTTTTCTTAGACACGGTCGTTCAGAAGAACACTTAAAACAGTGTAAACTTCCACTCACATCTTTAAAGCGTTTGAGTTGTGATGTACAAAATGTCCCCATCCATGGCAGCTTTTTACTACTGACTTGGTAATAATTTTGAGTGTTTGTTACAAAGAGCCTGATTTCCACCCTCTGAAATGAATAATACATGTAACTTCAGTCTGAGACTGTTGGAGGTGATACTTTGATAAGAAGTGTCTTTCTGCTGGCTTTCAGCAAAACCCCAGTTGTCTGCATTTTTATCATGTGTTTCATTATGTGTTGAAGATGTTTCCTGAAGGATAGTAATATAGCAGTACTTTCATTAATGGAGAAAATAATTAGTTAAGGTGCTAGTTATGTACTGAATTTGTTTACCAGAAAATATACAAGATAATTCTGTTCTAATACGAAGTAACTGTAGCTCGAAAGTTATTGTTAATCTCTAATGGGTCTGTTGTGTCAGCTGCATGGGGCAATTGAATATTAAGTCATAGAACATGGAGATGATAAATGACTGCAGCGAAGAGGCTGCTGTCTTGTCTGCTAGGATCTTAGTTTTCATGTTTGTCTTACTTTCATAGTTATTTTGATGAATTCTTAGAAGGAAGGTAATTTTTTCCTTACTTCCATCAAGCAGTAGGGAAGACACTTCTTTTCATCCCTACTGTCTTCAGAGTTATGGGATGCTTTTATGACCACCAGCAGGCACCTCTATAGCTAGATACTTCAATTTTTTCCTTTCAAATTTCTCTTTCTTCATAGCTATTAACCTTGATTTGGGATTGTTGTGACAATACCATGAGAATTAGACTGAAATATAGATGTTCATTTGCTGCTGGAGACCTCTCTCTTAGGCTCAGTGATTACTGTGGGTCCTGGAAGTAAAACTTGATTTTAGTGAGGAAGGAAAACATCAGAAGGTTAAGTCAACAGGGTCAGAGTAAAAGAGCTTTCTTATGTGAATGGAAAAAATTCATGAAGTTCTGTACAAGGAATAGGATGAAAAGGCATAAAGGACAGACCACTCATCTGGAATCAGAAAGGAAGAAAAGCTTTGCAAGTGATATATGAGAAGTCTGTCAGCATGGGGAAAATTTGCCTTTCTATATTGTTGTCAAGAATATGGGCTTCTGTCTTGATAATTTCTGCATTTCCCAGCAAATTCCAAGCATTTTCAAAATAAAAGGGGAATTTATTTTTAAGTTTCTTGTTTTCCTAAATAGCAAATTCATATTTCTTGGTGTATTGCAAAAAGCAGCAGTAGCAAAGGTACTCCGGTACTTTCGACTACGTTATCCCACGTACGCTGCGGCTCACTGGAAAAGGGGTGAGCCATCTATATAGTACCTTCCCCAGCCTGCCCATCTCTGACTGTTCATACAATAAGAAATTGCATTTTAAATGCCGCAGACTGTGGAAAGAAAGAAAACTGTATGGACGTGGAAGAACGGAGATAAAGGGTGAGCATATGACTCATGCATATCCTGAAGGATTGGCGATGTTTGGAGCCACAGCCTGAAATCTAATGGAGACATTCGTAGATTTTTTTGAGGCTAGAAAAGAGCAGTAATGTAGTTTGACTTTCGGTAGAATATGTACCAAAAAAGTTGATCCTTCAGGTTCTGCTTGAAGCTCTTAACTTCTGTTTAGTTTTAGAAATTCAACCTTCACCAAAAGACTGCAAATGAATGGTAATCTGTACATCCCTAGGTAAATTGGTTCAGTCGTGTCTGACCCTCACCAGTAGAAAGTGCACCTTCTAATCCCAATGTGAATAGGGGACAAATCTAACTTTTGTGCCTCTTTCTGCTAGATGAGACTGTCAAACTCTTCTCCTAAATGTTCCTACACTCTTCACCTCTTATCCATCTCTTCAGTAAACTAAAACTAACATAATGATCTCCTTAAGGGGTTCTTTCCACTGATTCATTTTCCTCCAGACTTTTTTAGTTGCATTGAGTGGAAAATCATCTGATCCTATGTCCAGCTGGAAGCTTTCTAAACATTTTCCAAATCAGGGATGTATATTTAAAGAGTTAAAGCAATGCAGGTAAGGATGGAGAAAGAAGTGCTTTCAAATGAAGTGTATGTCACTGTTAAAATGAATGATCTGGCAGGAATTCTGTAAAATATATTTACTTTAAAATAGTGTGACTGTGAACTATTTTAGAGTTGTACTGATTTAAGGAAGTTTTCATATATGCAGTGCAGAGTGGTGCTAATTCTGGTAATTTTCCTCAAAATGGGAGAAGCTTTTTAAGTGCTGCCAGTATAATTACAGAACAAAAAGAAAGCAGCCAAGCCAAAAAGCCTCTCATCTGAAGGCAGACTTTAAAAAAAAACAAGTTTTTGAAACTGATTTTTTTGTCCTTTATGATTATAAAAATCAGTATAAAAGGAGCCAATATTTTTTATCAGTTTGCTTCTTGTAATGATACATACACACAAACGCACGCACGCAAACACACATATGCACAGATCTCATTCTCTCTTTTAATCTCTCCTCTCCTCCTTCCTTCCATAAAAATATAATGCCAAAAAAGCAGAAAATGTTATGTATTTCATATTTTCAGGTAGTCCTTTTGGAAGTATGACTGGCCACCTAAGGTTTTCTTTTGCTATTGCAGAATGACATCCAGTGAACACTAAAATTCTAAGCTTAAACATTCAAGGGTCAAGGAAAGACAAAAGAAGATACCTATGTCTTAACTGACTCATCTTTCCTGTGTTTCTTATGAAACAGTTTTCATTTTTCTCACTTAAAGAAGTGCCATTTTGCCAAAGATATATGGCCTGGTCATTCAAGCAGTTACTTGTTCTTGTATATACTTGCTGTTCTGCACAATTGCTGTAGTAAAGACATTTAGAGCACTATATCAGATCAGATTTTACATGAAGTTGCTTGTTGAGAGTGTTTGGATATAACAAACTGTGAGCTCTGACATGATTGAATTAATTGGGTAGTAAGAAGTGGCTATTTGAGAGAAGGAGAAATGTATAGACAGTATGACAGGGAAGTTAATGCACAAAAGTACAGAGTAATGGAGTGAATGGGACTTATTTCTAGTCGTCCCTCATTTAAGGCATTGTTTCTAAAGGGACTGTGAGAATGAAGAGGCCGTAGCTGTGCTCCATCTAAATATTGCACAGGCCCACTTGGAGACCTGCATACAGGGATATGTATTCTGCCATAATCTCTTTTTTGGGGTCGGCAGCTAAATGTCTCAAATTGTCCGTTGAATTTGTACAGTGCTTTTTCTGAGGAGCTCTTCCTTTTTCTTTAGACCTCATGTATGTTCTTAAAGAATTAATTTTTTCAGTAGAGTGGAATAATTCGATAGACAACATCTGTACCACAAAGGCCAGTGGAACTAGGGCAGTTCCCTAGTTTAAGTTTAGAGCTCAGAATTACTGAATAGAAGTATCAAAAAATAACTCACAACTGATACTAGAGATAGTCCTTGTGCTATGGCTGTGGAGAAAAGAGCTGTGGCACTGGACCAAGCACCTATAGCCAGGCCAGAGTCCATCTGACTTGCTGCTCTAGTTAAACTGTCCTTCATGAGACCTATCAGCTTGAGGATCTTTTACGTATGAGGCTTAGCTGGCAGTCAGTCACCTTTCCAGCACTGCAATACAGGAGCATACATACTGTTAACGCTCTGAGCTGAGGAGAGCAGATGCCTGCTGCCAAGACCACTGTCCTCCTCTCCTGATGCAGCAGCTGTGCCAACTTGTAGCCAAGGGGTCGTGATTCTGAGGTGCTTCAAGATCTTACTGTTATCATCGGAGGCCTGAGGCCAGGATCCTTGTGCAGTGTAGCACAGACCTCGTTACGCTTCGACACTGTCCGTGACATTGACCACAACAATCACACAAACCATAAAGGAAATAGTTCTTCACGCATCGCCATGGTTTTATCTGATGCTCATAAAAAACATAAGATTTTCTCTCTAATCGTTAATTTGTGGAAAACCAAATGCTTCCCTGATGTAAAGCACTGAAAATTAAAAACCCATGATACTATTCAGCATATAAGGTGAATATTCTCTGTTTGAATTCATTCCTTGCTCTCTTGTTTATCACATTGTTCATTTTATTTTGTTTTGTTTTTTCCCTAGTTTGTTCATCCTCTGGCAACTCACGCAAAAACGTCCAAAGAAGTTAGAGATGTAGATCTTGCCTCCTTTATGGCCATTATTGATTTTGTCATCTGACA